TGCGCTGGGTCTTTGAGAAACTGGTAAGTGTCGCACGCACAGGCCGAAGTGATAAATGTTTGCTTACTCCGATTCGGATCTGCCATGGCGTTCGTAAATTACAATCATAGTCGAGATGAACAAAGGGACTTACCGAAGATCACTACTTTGTTTGCCCCTGTCAAGTTCAATCCCGTTCCACCGGCTAAGGTCGAGATCAAGAATACGAATACATCAGGATCTTCGTGGAACTTGTCAATAAGCGACATTCCTGATCATCAGAAATAAGCAAGGCTTGGACGCGCATAGAGGATAGACGATTACGTACGATCAGACGGTTTGGTAGATCCGTCCAATTTGATAAACTCAATACCTGATGGATATATGCTGCAGGTGAGAGGGTAGTTCAAAGCGTACATGAGGATGAACTGACTCCGTGATCTCAAATGGAAGTCAAGCATATCCAATAACTTAACAGATTTGGTGAAGATCAAAACCTTGTTCAAAGGATCCTTTCTCCAATCTTCTAACAAAGATCCTAGAATCTGGAATGGCGTGTCAATGTTTGCATACGACTGCTCGGCGTAGACACTGAATGCACTAGCCACTTTCCGCAGAATTCCGGAACGAGCATTGCGGGACCGTACTTAGGTGCAGAGCCCTCGCCGAAGACGATCCTCGATAGTTCTCGACGGCGGATCGTCTGCATACCAGAATAGTGAGACACAGCTGTACTCGTCGGGTATTGAGGCATTACCTGTTCTTGGGTGTCCGTTGGGGCTGATGCGGGTCGTGAGTATTTCCTAATCGAATAGTTCAAAGGAAAAGCCTCACAGGGCAGAATCAGAGCCAAGTGATTCGAGATGTTGATCAGCGTTATCAACTATCTGAATAAGTTGCCCTTCTTAAATGGATGACAGCACTTCTTCCGCCTGAAAGCAGTATCAGCATGAGCGGAATCAATGCGTGTCAGACGATTCTGTACGGTTTCCGTGAGCCACAATCACATCGTTCGTCCCTCCTTATCATGTTTTGGACGGCATTGGTGCTTAGTATGTGCTTATAAACTTGAATCTGCATGTTGGTCAGCGGACAGAATACTACTTGGTCATCCTTTTCCGGCAGCTATTAGACAGGTATGTCAGGATTTCTAGTATTTCACAACCGAGCTGATCGCATACCTGATCCTGAATGGTCTGCTTGGTCCTGTATCACAATAGAAAGGTGATGTTGAGACGATATATTTGTACATTTTGAATATGTCCTGCTCACCTCCTCAGGAAGAAGTTAGGCAACAGCTTGGTCTTCAGAATCTGTTCCACGAGCTAGAGACGGATCGACTCAGACGTTGCAGGAGTATTCAGCCATTCACTTATAATCGCCTTCGTTCTCTGCTCGACGCTAGCGCTCTTGCTCTGGCCAGCATTTAGAGGCCGAGAGACATATCCTTCCCACTGATGTTTTGTTCCGACGCTTCCCGGGTTCACCCAGTCGAGGATAGCCAAAACTCTGAGAACGAGTTTTGGATGGCTATTGGAGCTCACTGTTCACGACAAGCTGACAGATGGAGTAGATGTACAAAGGACTCGCCTGTGCCGGTGAAGCCAAACCGCGTCGTGCAGGCGAGCTGATTGAATGCCGTCGCCAGCGCCGAACGAGGGACCTTCACGCGGTGAACTTCATCAACGATGAC